TTAACCTTTTCATGCATCGTAGTCACTACAGTAGACAGCTACCTAAAAGCCATTTTCTTGTGCTTCTTGTGGATTTTTATGTTATAAATGCACACAGACCACTGAAGTGGACACTAATGCATCATAAAATACACCATCAACTTCTGGCCATCAGCTGCAAATGCAAGAAATTATTTTTGTTAAATCCAATATGGCCGACAGACAAAAAAGCACGCCAAAGCACCCGGTCCCTCCTTCTACTGCAGACGACTCTTGTAGGTAAAACAATTATTGTGACATCAGATAACCCCTAAAGAACAACACTACTGATGTATTTTTCAAATAACAACTTTGTATTTGGAGAAAATTACAATTGATCACCTAAAAAAATTCAAAACTCAAAAGTTTTTTCCTACCTTTTTTCATGCAGTAAGGAAATAAAACATTTTGAAAAAAATCCTGACACAAAGGATCATAATTCATGCATGAAAGGGTTAAGTGAAATCTACATATAAAAATAACATTTGACATAGTGTGTGACAAAATCAAAAGAAAAAAATGAGTATTTTTGTAATGTTAATGTTATATTTTTAATTCTTTAATATTTCTGTTCAATAACTGAGACATAGTTTCTTCTGAACTGTGTTCAAAACTGTAACTTATAAAGTATAATTATTTACTACCGACTTTTTACCTAAGAGTATTTATGGAAAAAACAGTCACGCAAATTTTCTGGTCATCCGACCAGAAAATTTTGGTAGAGAACCCTTCACTAAATTAACACCAATAAAATAAATTTTTGCTCTCTAAAAATTGGAAGGTTTACGTTGTTACATATATCTTATACACATATGAAACTTGTATTACTAAAATCCACAAAATGTAAAATATGTTAATAGGATGTTTAAAAGATGGATTAAAAAACTACAAATGTATGAAACAAAAAACACAATGTTTTTGTCCTGTGAAGACTTTCCTTAATAAAAAAAGAATCAAATTAAAGCCAAAAAGCAATTTATATATGCATTGCATGAATGATGAGCAGCTGAGACGAGGAGTGCCAAAGTTTTAGTTCCTCTTTTGAACCAGCATCCTCAGGTGTTCTCACTGTAAAGACATAACACATATGTTTTGGTTAGTGGTCGAGTTTCAGGCAGAGCTTATAATGTATGAGTAAGAAAATAACCATAACTCTACAAGTCATTTATTGTACATTGTGCTTGGGGCCTCGACTGCACCATTTAAATGGACTGGGAGAACCATTAGATGTTTATTTAAGTACTGTTTTATTAAGGCTGTTTTTGTTGTTTGTCAGGGACTGTGTGGTGGTGGTGACCCCTAATAGTAAATGACGATTTACAAAGTCATAATTATGAGATTCAAAGTCATAATTCCAACTTTCAAAGTCATAATTTCGAGGTTCAAAGTCATAATTTCGAGGTTCAAAGTCATAATTATGATATACCGGAGCAGTTGCAGACAAGCCTCCTTAGAATAACAGCGTGCACTTCACTGCATTCAGTAACACAATAAAACCACCGGGATAAAG